ATCTATTTAAACTCTCTGGCTTCAACCAATGTCACATGTTTCCTCCTAATATACCCCTTTCGGAAACAGTAATTTACTGTGAAAAACCCTAAGACTTTAGCCAACAACATAAGGCATTTATTCTTGTGGTAAACCCAACAGAGTGGTGCTCGTTTTACATGGCCATTCACCTGTATGTTTGGTAATTTCTTCCTAATTATCGTAATTTGCAGCAAATAGTACCCCGGGTCTCTTACATTCTTAGGGGCAAAATTTTGATTAGTACCCGGTGGGTACTTTGTCAAGTAGAAGGTACTTTATGTGGGGGTTTATGTAAGGGGGATACTTTAAACGCAATAAAGTTGACCAATCATTTAAGTAAACACGAAAATACTTAAACACAATTTTTTTTTAAAAAAAAAGTTACAATTTTTTTTACACGTTAAAACATGGCAAGAGTTAAATCTGGTATTGCATGTTCGACAATTACACAAAAAAAGCGACGTATCTGGAATGCATATGAAAAACTTGCGGCAATAACTTTTCAAGAAAGAACACAGACAAGTATTCGTAAAACTTTACTTATATTTGGAATTGAACCAAAGCAGTTCCGTGATTAGAGTTCAAAAAAAAAGAGTTGATGCTTGCACGTCCACATATCTGCCGGCTAAATACTGGCTCTCGTCCAAAGTATCCTGAACTAGAAGTTGAATTGAGTAGTTGGATACGTGTATTGCAAGCTGAACTTAAAGTAGTTACACGCAATATGGTCCAAGTTAAAGTGAAAAACTTAGCACAAACACAGAGGTTTCTCTTACTATATTCTGATATTTCAATATTTTAATGGAGCTATAAATGGTTAGATGGGTTTATGAACTACTATAAGTTGAGTAATCGACGCCGCACAACTGTCTTACAACATTTATCTGAAGACTATGATGAAAAACAACAGGCATTTTTAAGTTTTGTTCTTTTTCAATGAATGAAACATGAATACCCTTTAAATCTAATTGGCAATATAGACGAAATGCCACTTTCTTCGACTTGCCAAACAACTTTACAATTGATAAAACTGGGGTCCGCAATATTAGTATCAGAACCTGTAAATATGAAAAATCAAATTTTACAGTTGTTCTTGGTTGTATATTAGACGGTTCTAAATTGCTCCCACTAATTATTTTTAAACTTAAAAATGTGCCACAGCTTAAATTTCCAAGGGGAGTAAAAATTAGGTCTAATCAAAAAGGTTGGATGAACACCGATAAAATGTTATTTTGGATTAAGAATGTATAGAACCATTATGCATCTCGCTCTGTTGATTTACGTTCTTTGTTAGTGCTTGATTCATTCTGTGGTCATCTTGAGAATTTAGTTAAACAACGATTTAAAGAAAAAAATACTGACTTGGCAGTAATTCCTGGTGGATTAACTTCCCAATTGCAACCATTAGATATTGCTATAAATAAACCCTTTAAGGACAAGGTAAGTTCACTAATAGTGATGTAATCACAATGCTGTAATTAGTTGTAATTATGCCATAATTCATTTAATTATGACCAATTATGACATTGTGATCACATCTTTATTACTAATGCATCAGATATTTATTTATTGGAAGTGTGGTTGTTGCATCAAAAAAAAGATTATCGACTATAGAACTTTTATGAATTTTTTTTATCTTACAACTTGAGTATTAATTGTTTAATATATATACAGGTTCATAGTTATTATAATAAATGGATGAATGAAAAAGTCAAGAAACTAACACCCACAGGACGAATTCAGAAGCCTGCTTACAACGTTATTGCACAGTGGGTTCAAAAAGCCTAGGACAATATCGATCTAATACTTATTCAACGTGTATTTAAGTGTTGTGGGATTTCAAACAATCGTAATGGTTCTGAAGACAAACAAATTTTTAATTATAATTTATCAACAGCGAACAGTTCTATGTCTTATATTTTTGGTAAGGAAGAAAATTATAAGAATTATAAAGGGTCTAGTGAATTGAATAGAAACTGTGAAGGGTCTAGTGAATCGGATAGAAACTTTGAAAGGTCTAGTGAATCGGATAAAAACTTTGAAGAATCAAATGAATCGATTAGAAATTATGATAATGATGAAGACTCTGGTCAATCTCTTGAAAATGATCTAATTTCAGATTTTGGAGATGAAAATTTTGATAGGTATTATAATAATTTGGAAGTAGAAAACTATTCCAACTCCTGGCTTTAAAACTTAAACAAATTTTAGACGGTCTGAAGACTAATTTAGTGAAAAAATTTTTTTTTTTAGAAATACAAGTACAGTGTAATGAAGAAATTCAAACATACTGTATACATGCTTTAAATTGAAAAAAAAACTATATTTTGCTATTAATTTTAATTTTTATAATTGAATATAATATATTAGCTATAAAAAGTATACTTAGATTACAATTTGAGGCAAAAGTTTATTAATGAATTAGAACTAATCAGAGCCTTGAAAGTTTCAACCAATTAATGTACGTTTTAGATATATCCGGGTCTTTTACAGTCATGTTCACGACACATACTTGATTAACCCCTGGTACAAATCATGGGGGTATACTAACAAGAGGATACTATTTGCCGCAAATTACGGTAGTATATATTGTCTGCCGCCATTGTATTCGTATCTCATGTCACCTTTTGGGGTGCTGCCATAACACAATCCGTATCTTAAGCCCAACCTTTCTAATTAGTCACCCATTACGTATTTCTTGCCCTTGCAAGGTTCACAACAACCCCAGTACTCGCAATCTAGCCGTCTCCTTACCCGGAAGCTTTATCGGTCTCTCTCACAGTTCCAGCCGGCAACCCGGAAAGGTTGGTCTGCCCAGGCTTTAGATGCCTGAAGGACGCCCTCCCTTTGGTTCATACTTTCGGAGCGTATATCCTTTTCCTCCGGTGTGTCTAAACCGGCGGTTCGGCTAGTGTATTCTCCCACTAAAGGATTTAGTCCTACAGTTCTCCAATCTCAGGTTCCGGTTCAAATTTAGCCTTCATGTGATATCGTCGAAGATCACTGCTACTCTCAACTCAGGACTTGCCAAGCAGGTTCCAGAATCTTCTTGTTCCTCGGTGTTACCAACACTACTGGGATATTCTATATTCGCTCGGCAATACACAGACGCCCGACAGTGACAACTTTCCAATACAGAGCATTGGTGTAACTTGAGGTTACAGGTTACTCTAAGCCCCAACTTAATAAAGATCCGTTACCATAACACAAGTCTATTTTTTAAATTTTCGTCGTCCATGGGATTTGAACCCTAGACTTGCTACTTGGAGAGGGTGACAACTTGACCACTTCACTAAGCCGCCACATCTCTATCTTTTTATTATTATTTACTATACTAAAAAAATTCTTTTATTAATTAATTTTGATTTATATAATACTCTTTTAAAAATCAATATAAAGCAGAAGTTTTAATTTGTGATTATAGATATTATATAGTATGTTATAATACTTTTTTTTTTTTATTTTTTAAAGTGAGATCTTGCCTCATGTTATTTATTAGGTATATACATATATAATATACATTTATACTATAATTAATACAACTGTGGCTTAGACTAATTATCTATAATCTATACTTACCAGAGCTATTCATGTCCCACTCATGTATTACCTAGATTTTGTATACTACTAACTAAATATTCTAATCAAATCTTAATATATTCCCCACATTTCTCATACTAACAACTTTATACTCCCAATATGGTTCTAGTGCAGTATCTGTTACAGATCCTACTAGGGGGCACCAGGCAAGCGTAACCTCATAGCTACTTCCAGATTGGTGTAGTACATGTTGTCTGCCGTTACTGAGTTCATATCTCAAGCTATTATTTGTAATGTTGCTATAACCCAGTTCGTATCTCAAGTACAACCTTCTTTATTACGTATAGTGTTGATAATATGTATACAGGACTTGATAACAAATACTCCTCTAATTGGTGGGTCTTACAGGTTATGGGTGTCGGAACTTCTAACTGAGTTTTTCGAAGTATATATTGTACTACTTCCAGTATTATATATTGGTATTTTAAAGTTGGTGTTCCTGTATTCTGTTTCATACTTGTTTCTTTTTCTAGGTCTCATCCTAGGATTTTCCCCTAGTCATACTATCAAAGTAGTCAAAAAATGTATAACTAAGGCGGCTCTAGTGACCTGGTAACCAGACAAGTACTTCTAGTTAGGTATGAAATTGCTATGCCTTGTCTATTTTAAGTGTATCCCAAGTTTTCACCTGCCAACTTACTCTATATACGGAAATCTCATTCAATCTAGTAGTAGTATGGGTGCCAAAGGTGTTCCAAATCTGATAAAGCCAATTCTTTATCACAGGTCCCTTTGTGTTCACCACAATTCTCACTATTTCCAATTCTAGTTACCGTCTAGTCGTCCTCCCAAACAAGATCTCCAATGCCGCCTTAGAGGTTGTTTACTACCTTGCCAATCACAGATTTATATGCACAACCTTTGTGCAATTGAACCTTCCGTAACAACCTATTACACATAGTGCCAACTACTCCACAATGAACCTCTTTCCGGAAATTCCTAATTCAGACCTGTATTCACTTGGACTTTCCACAGCAAATACTTCCAAATATTCATAAGTAAACGTACCTACTAGGACTTGAACCCAAAACCCGCTCGTGGAAGGTTGGGTGTCTAGACCACTAGGCTGTGGGATCCTAACCCAAGTATGTTATAATACTATAAAAAGAAGATATAAATATTGTTATATTTATTATAAAACACTCCACAATGGACCTCTTTTTGAAAATTTCTAATCCAAATCTGTATTCACTTGGACTTCCCATGGCAGATACTTCCAAATATTCGTAGATAAACATACCTACTAGGACTTGAAACTGAAACCCGCTCATAGAGGGTTGGGTGCCTAGACTATTAGGCCGCAGAATTCCAACCTCAAGTATGTTATAATACTATAAAAGGAAGATATAAATATTGTTATATTTATTATAAAACTGGAATTAAGCATAATGTAAAGTCTTCTATAAATAAATTAGAAAAAGGAGCTAATATATTAACTGAAAATAATATAGATATAGATAATAATAAAGATAATGAAAATAAAAATAATAATAATAATAATAATAATAATAGCAATAATAACAATAATAATGAAGTTGAAAATTTAAATTTAGTATTAAGTAAAAAAGATAAAATATAACAAAAATTTACAGATAAATTAATTGATATTTTAAATTGGTAATTTATATTATTATAAATATAATTTATAAATTATTATTAAATATAAATATAAAAAAAATAGTTATTTTTATTATATAATAAATTTTAGAAAATTACTATTTGTACATGGTGTGTTTAAATACTTGTTACACAAAACTAATAAAAAGCCAATTAAAATATAAATTTAAATGCAGTATGCAGATCATTTTTTGTACAACAAAAATAAAAATTAATAATATCCAAAAATTTTGGTTATGAAATCATCTTTTAAGCTTTAAGAAAAAATTCCTTGCAAAATTTTACTATAACTATGTTTTTTACTAACTATAACTTCTAATTCTAACTCTAATATTAATTAAAATTATTACTGTTAACTTATATTTTTAATAAAAATTAATTATAAAATTATATCTGTGTTTCAAACATGCTGTGTATACTAAGTAATTTTTTAAATTTTATAATATAAATAAAAAATATTTCTATTAGGCTATGCAAAATTAATTAATTGGTTTTTATAATCTGATCAAGTCAAAATTTATATGTTTTAATAACTGGTAGATTTAAAAAAAAAAAAATTATATAAATTTTATAAAATTTTATATATGAAATTTAAAAAGAAAAAGCTAGACAGCTAGATCTATTTAAAAGTTTTATATTATGAAAACTAAGTAATTAAATTTGTATAGCCTTAAATTAAATAAATTAATTTAAAAAAGCACAATGAATTATATGATTTTTATATATAATAAATACTTTAATATTATTAACTATTTATACAATAATATATAAAATATAATAGATTAAAAACTTTATTTATTAAAATTTTATTTATTAAAAAATATATTAATTGCTAATTTAGATAAAATTAATACTATTTCTATAGGGTCTATATTGTTTTACTGACAATCACTTCATAGGCACCACATTTCAAAAACAATTATTCATTGACAAGTTCATTTTACTGACAGTCTATTTCACTGAAGCTCATTTCACCAACAAGTTTTTTTTTATAAATTACACTAACTTTAACTCTAATTCTAACCTAACTCTAATGATATTGACCAGAATTACTTTG